AGACAGACAGACAGACAGACAGACAGACAGACAGACAGACAGACAGACAGACAGAGACAGACAGACAGAGGCGGAGAGAGACAGACAGAGACGGAGACAGAGAGAGACAGACCTATCAGATCTGTTAGGGTTAAGGCATGCTGCACTGGCTCTAAAGGGAGGGACTGCCTGGGAGGAGGAAGGGATGGATAGAAGGAAGAAGAGATGGAGAGAAGGAGGGAGGGATGGTGAGAAAGAGGGAGCGATGGAGAGAAGGAGGAATGGGATGGAGAGAAGTAGTTAACGACCCTTCTTCCTGTCAAACGTCAATCTCTCCTCTTTCTTTCCTGTCAAACATCTAATGTCCTTATCTCTCCTCCTTCTTCCTACCAAGCATCTACCGTCCATATCTCTCCTCCCTCTTTCCTGTCAAACATCTAACGTCCTTATCTGTCCTCCTTCTCCCTTTCAAACGTCAATCGGCCCTATCTCTCCTCCGTCTTCCTATCAAATATCTAACGTCGTTATCTCTCCTACTTCTTTCCCATCAAACATCTAACATCAAAATCTTTCCTCCTTCTTCTTATCGAACGCCAGTCGTCCTTGTCTCTCCTTCTTTCCTATCAAACATCAGTCGTCCTTATCTCTTCTCCTTCTTCCTATCGAACATAAAACGTCCTTATCTCTCCTTCTTCTTCCTATCCAACGCCAGTCGTCCTTATCTCTCCTTTCTATCAAACGATAGTCGTTCTTATCTCTCCTCCTTCATTCCTATCAAACATCTATCGTCCTTACCCCTCCTCCTAAATTCCCATCAAACATCTATTGTCCTTATCTCTCCCCCTTCTTTCCTTTCAAACATCTATCGTCCTTTTCTCTGCTCATTTATTCCTATCAAACATCTAATGTCCTTATCTCTCCTCCTTCTTCATATCAAACGTTAATAGTCCCTTTCTCTCCCCCACCTTTTATGTGTGTATATTGTTACTCTCCTGTCTCATCTCTAATCGTTGGTACTTATATCTGTGATCCCTGGTGACCCGGGGGTCTTTTGTCGTGAGCCATGGATATTTTGTCGTTAACCGTTGATATTTTGTCGTTAACCGTTGATATTCTGTCGATATTTTGTCGTTAACCGTTGATATTTTGTCGGGAACCGTGAATATTGTGTCTTGAACCATAAATGTTTTGTCGTGAATTGTGGGTATTTTGTCGTGAATTGTGGATATTTTTGTGGTAGACACAGACAGAGAGAGATAGCCAGGCAGACAGAGAGACAAACGGACAGACAGACAGTGTGTGTGTGTGTGTGTGTGTGTGTGTGTGTGTGTGTGTGTGTGTGTGCGTGTGTGTGTGTGTTGTTTTG